CTTCACCATCCATCCTGATGCTGCCAATTGGTCCAGTGGTGAGAATCTTTGTCTTCTTGACATTGAGCCTCAATCCATATTGTAGGCTGCAGTCCTTGTCTTTATTTAGTCTTGGAATATTTGCCAGCAATGTTATCTTATACCTTCCTCAAACCTGAGAACTTTATTTCAACAGCTTCTTCTTGCTGGTCTGGGATCCAGTGAGTGACTCTCCCTGTGTGATGCAAGTAATTAAACACTTGACTACTAACAAAAGGGTTGGAGGTTCAGATCTTCCCTAAAGCACCTCAGAAGATAAGCCTGGCAGTCTCTTTTTACAAACCCATAGCCCATAGCCACTGAAAGCATAAATCTACTCTAACATGTATGGGGTCACTCTAAGTCCCAATCAACTAGCTGACATCTGGCTTTGATTTTATTTTATTTTAAGTATATTTGTAGAAGATAATGACTAATTAGTCAGTAGCTATGAAAGTGGAAAAACAGAGTAGATATTTTAAAAGTGTCACTTACAGTGACTTACAGTTTACAAAGCCTTGGTATCTACTATGTCATCAATTTAGTTTTTATCACAAAACAATCCATAAAGGATATACTATAGTCATAATTTGAAGATATTGCAAGTTAGGTTCCAGATCAATGCGATAAAGCAAATGTTGCAAATTTTTGGTTCCCCAGTGCATAGAAAAGTTATGTTTATACTACACTGAGGCCTATTAAGTGTACCAGAAGACTACAAAAATGTCTGAAATATTGTGAGAATTGCCAATATGTGATAAAGAAACAGAAAATGAGTGTGTGCTGTAGGAAAAATTGTGCCGATAGACTTGATCAACACAAGGTGGACACAAATCTCCAATCTAAAAAAAAAGCAACACAATCCTCTTAGAAGCTCAAAAAGGTAAAGCACAATAAAATGGGGTATGCCTGCATTTCCATCAACCTGCCTTGGGAATTGCTTGAAAATTAATGGGCAGGGGCCTGGCTGGCTTCATGTGTTAAACAACACCCTCCTACTACACTGTTGGTGTTCATTAAATGCTGAATATATAAGATGCACTTGGAGGAGTTAGGAATAATTATACCTTACTAATTATTGTTAATTTCACCACAGCTTTGAAAACCCAGGCTTTCTCAATGATTCAAAAGGAGATTGCAGTCCCACCATCCCATTAAAGTAGCCACGCAGGGACAGACAAGCAATTTCTCACAGGCTCCATTCTCTCATTATTTAAAGTGGTTCAGCTACTGTATGGGAACAGAAAAAGACAAGCAACGATTTGTTCTTTCAGAGTCAGATTGTTAAGACGGGAGAAGCCCTTATAAACTTGTTGGTTCTTTCAAAGAATTTGTACCTTTACCTCTTCTTACCCTGAATAGACACATAAATTGTACAAGTGTGTGCATGTGTGTGTGTAAGAGAGAAAAGTTGTTGTCGTTGTTGCTCACGACTCATAGTGACCCTGTGAACAACAGCTTGTGAGAGAGAGGAAGAAAAAAGAAGAGGAAAAAAGTGACTAGTAGAAAACTTAATATATTGAACACAAGGATATTGGGGTTTTACCCCTAGTGTCCTGATAGTTAAAGGGCTGGGCTCTAGTGGACTGGTGAGTAGTTGGGGGACATTGTCCCTCTTCCTCCCTCCAGTCACTCCATGGGAGAAAGATATCCCTGTTTCCATAAAGATTTTTGGAATCCTTGGAAACACTACTTCCATAGGGTCACCAGGAATTAGAATCAACCACATTGCAGTGGGTTTGATGCATAGTGACAGTACTGCTTCCCTAAACTAAGATTCTATACCGCTTTGTTCCCACAGCATTTATTTAAGGTCTCAAATCAGTCAGGCCAGACACTAAAGACCCTTTCCAGGAATTTGAGCAAATACATTCACTAAAATAGCTTTTCCCTTCAACGTGGTATTGAATCGATCTCTCAGTGTCAGCTGAATCTCCTATAAAAACGAGTCTGATAGGTAGTTCATCCCTATCTGGACTGCCATGAGGATGAGATGATGTTTATGAAATGTAAATGGGAGAAATATTTACTACTATAGGAATCCTGGTGGGGTAGTGGATTAAGAGTTGGTTGCTCACCCTGAAGTTGACAGTTCAGACTTACCTGAGGAAGCCAAAGGAAAACAGCCTGCTCCCTCAAAAGGTGAATGGCTTTAGAAACCGTGTAGTGAAATTTTACTCTTTCCTTTAGGATCTTTATGAGTCAGAATTGATTCACTGACAGTTATTATATACCATGGAGTTAAAAAAGTAACTCATAGCTGACCCTCTACGTGGATTTTCAGAGGAGGCGAGTGCTCTCATCTTTCTCGCAGAGAGCGGTGGGTAGATTCAAACCATGTCATTTGAGTTAGCATCACAACTCCTTATCTCTGTCACCAAGGCTCCAAGTGACAGTTGTTGTTGTTATATAGTGTGAAGTCAACTAGGACTCACAGCAACCAAGAACAATAGCTCTGAGCCTTGCTCTATCTTTGTGCCAGCTTCATCATTTCTGACACACGTGAGCTCATTGTCACAATCACTGTGGCTTGTATTATGGGAATTGGGGGTTAAAGGGAGAACTTGAGGGAAAGGATATAACTAAAATCACACTATGGAGTCCACGCAAGGTTAACCCTGAGTGATAAAATGGCTCTGTGATTTTCTTGGCGATAATCTTTACATTGCCAGGCTTTTTTTTTTTTAGGCTCTTTTTACCCTCCCCCCGCAAGGCAAGAGGTTGATCTGAATTGTTACCTCTTTTGGTTAGTAGTCAGAACAATTTACATACGACACCCAGGGATTCCATGAAAGAAAGAATGGAAAGGGAGCAGAGAAAAAGAAAGATAACGTCTTGAAGGGGTGGGGATGGGGGAGAGTGAGTGTGCTGAATTACAGTCTCGAGAGAATTCTTGTTCAGAGATCGGCCAAAGGTTCTCAGCAAGTGGCTGCGTTGAGTGAGGATGAGAGGGCGGGCCGGGGGCGGGTACCGCCGAGCTCGGGTTAGTATCGGTTTTCTTCCTAACTTTCGGTCCAGAGGAGGCAGAGGGCGGGGAACAGCCCCAGCTTCCCTGATCCTATCGAGGGTTCAGCCTTCCGAGGGGACTAGCGGGAGGGGGCGGCAGGATGTGTCACCCAAATACCAGCGAGTGAGTCTGCAGCCAAACCAGCCGGGCAGGTCGGGCGAAGTATAAGAAGAGGGAGGGAGCGGCCTGGCGGCAGACGCCGGAAGGTCCCAGACAGAGAGCCCAGGTCTCCCGCGCCACGTCCCACTGCGTCCCGCCAGCGCTCCTCGGTCCCAGCATGTCCCGGGGTCCGGTTCTCGCACTGCCGCTGCTGCTGCTACTGCTGGCAGCTGTGATCGGCCGTGCAGCGGGGCAGTACAACTGCACATGCCCGACAAACAAGATGACCGTGTGTAACCGGGACAGCCAGACCGGCCGCTGCCGGTGCACGGTGATCGGCACCAACCACGAAGTCAACTGCTCCACCCTGACCTCCAAGTGCCTGCTGCTCAAGGCGCGCATGCAGCCTTCCAGGGGCGGCCGCAAGTTGGTGCAACCGAGCAAGCACGCGATCGTGGACAACGACGGCCTATATAACCCTGACTGCGACCGAGACGGCCGCTTCAAGGCCCGCCAGTGCAACCAGACGTCGGTGTGCTGGTGCGTGAACTCGGTGGGCGTGCGCCGCACCGACAAGGGCGACCAGAACTTGCACTGTGAGGAGCTGGTGCGCACGCACAACATCCTCATCGAGCTGCGCCACGACCCGGACGCCCAGGCCTTCAACCACTCGGATCTGGACGCCGAGCTGCGGCGGCTCTTCCGTGAGCGCTACCTGCTGCACCCCAAGTTCCTGTCGGCGGTGCACTACGAGAAGCCCACCATACAGATCGAGCTGCAACAGAACGCGTCCCAGAAGGACGCCAACGACGTGGACATCGCTGATGCCGCCTACTACTTCGAGAGGGACGTCAAAGGCGAGTCGCTTTTCTCTGGCCCCGGTGCCTTCGACGTGCGCGTGCGTGGGGAGCCCCTGAACGTGGAGCGGACACTCATCTACTACCTGGACGAGAAGCCACCCCAGTTCTCCATGAAGCGCCTCACAGCTGGTCTCATTGCTGTCATTGTGGTGGTCGTGCTGGCCATAGTCGCTGGGGTGGTTGTCCTGGTAATCACCAACCGGAGGAAGTCAGGGAAGTACAAGAAGGTGGAGATCAAGGAGCTGGGGGAGTTGAACAAGGAGCCCAGCTTGTAGGTACTGAGTGGAGCAGGGGGGGTGAGATGGAAGATCTGATTTCAGGATCTCCCCAGACCCAAGTCAGTCACTGTTCTTGGTTCTGGGCCCAAAGATGGAGAGTGGTGTCAAATCTATCAAGTTCTCTCCACTACCAAGTTTAATCCTCATCCTAGAGTTACCTCTCTTTCTGACGTCTTGAAAGAAATATTTCTAAAAACTCCTTTATTTTCCGCCCAACAACTAGAAACCTGACTCTGGATGTTAAGAAAGGATAGTGCTGATTATGAATAAGCAGCTAACTGATCACAGCTGAAGGCTTATTTGCAAATGATGGAATTGGGTTTGAAGCTCTGGAAGGGAAAGGGCTTTCCTGATGCGAAGGGGAGATTGTTAATTGAGCAGACTCATTTACCATCCTTGGTGTTAGTCACCACACAGCTTGTTTCAGCTGTGCCAGAGTTCAATTTAAACGTCTTTATTTAGAGGTCAGACTATATCCCAGAAACTGGGCATCAGTTCTTAGTGCAGCTGATGTCAGTGATACTCTCTTTTGTAAAATGTTTGTACATAGCTTGTCTTTGATAATGTTGCTGTGGTTTTTTAAAAAAGATGAGTTTAATAAAATATGAAAAAGGCGCCAGCCAAAAAGATGAAGTTTGTGAAAACTTACTCCACATTTTTACCTCTTTAAGTCTCCTTTAATTTACTACAGCTCTGATCTTTTACTTAAAATTCTAACCCTTTTGTAGAAGTGGCTATTTCACATTGCCATTGTGGTTATTTTCTAAGCTGTCCTTAGTTCCGGTTACAGAAGGGTGGTTCTGAGGGAGGAGGCTAGAACTAGCTGGTTTTGGTTCTTTCTGTAAGGATTCTCCCCCTTGGAGAAACAAAACTCTTTATTTCACAAACTCTATCTCCTTTAAACCCCAGCACTCTCCTGAAGTAGGTGGTATTTACTCCCATTTAGCTCTTGGGAATATTGCTTAATCCCAAATATAGTAGCTCTGAGAGAGTTTAACAACTTTTCTTTATAATTAAAGCCATCCTGGAGTGAGCCTGTGGCCTGAGTATGTGCAGGTTTTCCTGAGGTGTTTACCAATGATATATTTTTAACAAACTTTTATGTTGTTACCAGACAGCTGTGAAAACAATCCACTTGTCTCTGTTTTGTTTATCTCCTCCTGTTCACACATTCATTTATGTAAATCCAGGTGTGTTTGTTAGCAGCTCACGGAGCAAGGAAGCCTACAAGTAAACAAGTTACTGAGATTGCTAGAAAACTAGTGCTGCAACAGTTACTGCAAGAGGCACCTACAAAGGAAGGTGTGGTTGGCATATCACATACCAGGTAAAGAAATCCATGGCCCTTGCCATGGTGGCTTCCCATGAAATAGTACAGCTGTGATTCTATGGGGCATCCAGTGGCAGATTTTTGCAAAAGCAAATCACCATTCTTTTCCTCCGTGGTGCCTCTGGATGAATGCAGACCTGGTTTGAGCAGCATGAATTAATTGTTTGCATCACCCAGGGACTCCAGCAAATTGAAGCCACTGGATGTCACAAGCAGTTTGTGATCAGCTGCTAAGCTGAAAGTTAGCAATTCAAACCCACCCAGAGCTCTGTGCAGAAGAGATCTGTTTCTATGAAGATTAAAGCACAATTAAGTAGTTCTACTCTGTAGGTGCACAACAACCTCTCTGTAACACACAGGAGCACCATGAATTGGGAAATGTTGCATAGCAATTAGCAACAAGAATAGCAGAAAGAGCAAAGAGTTTGATTCAAAACTTCAGTTTCTTTGCTGGAATCTATCTCAGTCCCCTCCTCCCATGCTACGGTGGCGTGGTCTGCAGGAAGCTGGTCTGCTAACCCTGAAGCTGAGCCTCTCTGTCAGTTTGAATCTACCAGGGACTCCAAACAAGACAAGCACTCCCCTTCAGTGTGATTCACAGCCTGGGAAACCCAAAGGAGGTTATGGGGCAGTTCCATCTCGACAGTGATGAGTTTTGTTTTTTGTGGTGTTTTTGTTTTTGTTGGTGAGTTTTTTGAGACTCCTTACTCTTCTATGGCTGTGCCTACCCTGGGAAGCTATAGCATTCATAATGCTAACAACAAAAAGTGATCTGGTGGCACTGGTGAAGTAGGTATTATGGGTTCCATCATCTGAGATGTCACAGACTGTAACTCACTTAGGGAAGGACATCTGGTCCCAAATCTCTATCACTCAGATGAGGGCTTGCTCTCACTCCTTGCGAGGTACCTCAGAAGAATGGGCTCCCTTTGTGATTTCCACTCCCCAAGTCACTGAAGTGCCTTACCTAGAGTGACCTTGGCAATCAACTTGGGCATAACTCACCATTCTACAGATGAAAGGGCTAGTGACTGCTCAAGATGAGGACTAATGTCTTAGGGGCCCCACTGGAGCTAGAAAGTCTCTTGATTGCTGGTCCAGTGTGGTGGTTTGGTTTTTTTCATGATCACACATGGCTATTGTTTTAAGAATCACTCCAAAAGCTGTCACTTGCCCGGCTAGGATAACTAAGCAAAAGAAGCACTCGGCATGTCACTGGGTCTAACTTTTGTGTTGATTCAGACCAGGAGGCCTTATAACGCTTTTTCATTTACCAAATGCATTCACACATTTTTTTGAGGTATTGACATGATAGACATAGATCAGGTATTGGCAAATCCGAGTTCCAGTTCTGCTCTCTCTACTCGGCAAGCAAATCACCTAACTCTTGTCAGTTATAAAGTGAAAATGTTAACTAACCCACTAATCTCTCTCTAGGAGCTCTGGTGACTTAGTGGTAAGGAGTTGCAGTTTGACTCCACTAGCTGCTCCAAAGGAGAAAGATGGGCATCTCCTTACCTTCAATTTACAGCCTCTGAAAAGGAGGGTCAGGGATGAGCTGGTTCCTTCCAACTTGATGGTATATAACTAAAACAACAATCTCTTACTAATACCAAGATTAAATTAGGTAATTTATCCTAAGGGTCTACAACAGTCAGGCATAAATTCAGTGGTAGCATGTTTGGTTAAAAAATAATCACAACTCAGCAAAAGGTGAACATGGAGCTATTATTTTACATGTGCATGAGGAGATAATTTTGGTTCCAGAAAGAAAGTAAATGGTTTGAAAAAACTTGGAATAATAAGGTTTATAAAGTGAGAAGCAGGGAGAAATAAATCTTGGCTAACCTAACCTTTTTCTGAGATCAACAGTTACCAGATCACAAAGCCCTCCACTCAACCATATTGTTGTCAATTGCTGTCCTGTCCAGCACGACTCATAGCAACACTATGAACAGAAGCCTTTATAGCTTTTGAAATTCAAATTTAACAAACCTGATAAGACACAAGAAAGAAAAACTTAGCACCTTGATGGCAGGAAAGGGTGAGGTGGATAGAAAAATCCCTGGCAGACAGAATCAGTCCTGGTCAAGAACTTCTTTACAGGAAATGAAATTTATTTTCACGTGCAAGAAAAGCCCCAAACCAAAGCAGTATGTGTGCTGTCATCTTTGAGCCTTCCATGGCAGAGGATCCAAATGGCGAAAGTTCAGTACGTCTTTTCTTTTCTCTCGTTGTATAGAGGGCACGGATTATTGCATCCCTGTCCACACATCAGAAAGCGCATCCAGATACGTTAACTCATGATCACATCCTTCATGTGCCAACTTCTACTCCCAGCAGCCCTGGGTCCAACAGGTTGAAACCTGGCTGGATCCTCTGCCATTCTCTCAATTCCCTCCATGCTTGAGCCCATTGTGGCAGTGGCTGTGTTAGTCCATTTCCTTTAGGCTGTTCCTCTCCTTCATTCACCCTTTCTTTGCTTTTCCCACTGTGATGCCTTTTCTTTTCTTTTTCTTTTTTTTAGTTAATTTTAATATAGGTTTATAGAGACTTTGGATTTCCATTCATTCATTGTTGCAGTTTTCTCCCTGCCCACCCCACTCCCCCAATTCATTCTTCTCCTTGAAAAGAAAAGAAAATTCTTTCATTGTTATGCAATCCCTCCCCCCAAGCCCACTGCACTGTGCACCTTCGTTCTGGACTCTAATACCCAATCATATATCCCTTTTAAACAGTTCTCTTCCTCATCTCTTTCAATGCAGTATACATCATTCATTCCCTCCTTCTCTGTCTTCCCTCAACCCCAATGGCAGTTCCATTTTGCAACAGTGGCCCTATGCAATATTCGTCCTTTTGTGACTGAGATATTTCACTCAGCATAACCCATTTTGTATAATATTTCATGAGAGATTGAGATTGTTCACAGCTTTAGTTTGCTTGGCTCCACAGTCAACACTCTTGGCACCAGTAGCCAGGAAATTAAAAGGCGCATTGCTATGGGAAAGTCTGCTGTTAGGGACCTCTCTAAAGTACTGAAGAGCAATGGTGTCTCTGTGGAGACTAAGGTGTGTTTGATACAGGCCGTGGTCTTTGTTATCACTTGTTATGGATCAGAGAGTTGGACAATGACCAAGGAGGATAGAAGGAGAATGATGCCTCTGAGCTGTGGTGCTGGAGAAGAGTATTGAGGGTACCATGAACTGCTAGGAAAACAAACAGATTCATCCTGGAAAGGGTTAAACGAGGTGGCTCCTTGGAGGCAAGGATTCTGAGGCTCTGTCTAACATACTTTGGACATGTTGTGAGGAGAGATCAGTCCTTGGAGAAGGACATCATGCTTGGGAGGGTGGAGGGACAGCTCAGGAAGGGAAGGGCCTCTATGAGGTGGATTGATTCAGTGACTGGGATAATCGGGATGGGAGTGTCAGAGACCGTGCGATTGGCACAGGACAGAGCAGAGTTTAGAGCTGTTGTATATACGGTCGCTATGAGTCGCAAGCAACTCAACGCACATAACAACCACCACCACCTTGTTTTTCAGTGCTCACAATAACTTTTCTTAAGGCCTAACCCTCCTTGGCTGTCTAGCCCAGGTTATTGTCTTATGTACCAAAGCAGCTAAGTGCAATGTTTGTTTTCTCAGACTAGACACAACTGTCTAACC